CTGCAATTCGCCGCGGGTGCGTTCCGCCGTCGCTCGACCAATGCTGGGGGCCAGGTATCCGCTGACCAAAAAAAGTCGGCAAGTACTTCGACATGGTTGGGGCTTCAAGCAGGCAGAAAATTACAAATGTCGCTGGGTGGGGGCACCCCTTGGTCTAGACATTCTGACTCTCTGCTTGCTTGGGACTGGCGTGCTTGCTCACGTTTCCGGCCGCTGCATGATCCAAGCCAACATATTCGGAGCTCTTTCGACGTGCCAACGAATGCTTGCACGGTTCCCAATGCTGATTTCAGGTGATTTCCGTATGGATGCTCGCGCAAAGAATCTGGGTTCTTTACAATTTGATGCGACCACCTGTGCAGGCAGCCACTCGGGCACAGCTCAGACCAGGTGGGTAAGTCTGTGGCCTCGGGATTAAGGCTGTCTGGACACATGCAACACGAGGCACTTGCAAGGTAACCATGGACGGTGATGATTGGACTTGGCTTGACGTGCCTTCCTTCGCGGCCCATGACCCCTCTACCTCACGATCCCCATGGCGCGTGCTGTGGTGTAGAAGAATGGACGCAGAGGGATCACGACACGAGCCGACGAAACAAGGGAGGCAGAAAAAGGGAAGAGAGGAGGACGAGGAAAACCTTGGTGTCGGTGTAGGCACGACTTGGACGTGCCGCCTTTAGAGCAATAAGCACTGCACAAACACAACCTTTGGCGCTCCGTTTGGATTTCTTGGATCCGCGCAGGGCCCCTCTCTCCCTGGCGCGCAGAGCGCGCCAGGGGCGGCGCTGGAGTCGCCGCCGGGGAGGGCCCGGCGCGGATCCGAGAGATCCGAGCGGAGCGCCAACGCTTTCTGTTTATGCCGCTTCTCTCCTTCGCATTACCGCGCATGGCGCCAGGGAGGGTGCGCGGCGCTCAAAGGCAATACAGTCATCGGCCTGACCTGAGGAACAATAAATAAGGAACGAAGCCCCTTTTTTTATCCCAGGGAATAGCGCATAAGGAACGATAAATCACACATAACGCATCAGGAACTGTACATAACGCGTGCAAGCCTGAGGAACGACCGAGCGTCTTTTGAAAAGCAAACGTTCCTTACTCAAGCCGCTCGCTGTATGTCGGACAGCGGCGCCGGCCCCCAGCGCCCCGATCGCTCCCCACGGGAGGGCGACGGCGGACGCACGCAGGACGGCAGCCGCTCGGAGGGGTGGCCCGCTCGTCGGCCGTGCCTCTCTTGCTGCTCCCCGACACTGGCGCGCAGAAGGGGGCGCGCGATGGGGGCAGGCCGTCTGAGAAAGCGGAGTGGCTCCTGAGAGCAAAAAGCAAAAAAAAAAGGCATCAATTACCAGCCTCGAACTTATCCCTATCCCTAAGATTGACACGCCAAAAGGCGATGACAATCTTAGGGGATCGCCCTCAAAAATTATCCTGGCGAAGAACCCAACCATATGCAGTTGTGAGTATCGCAGTTGTGAGTATCTTCTTCGGTGGCGCTCCCTATGGGGCCACGAGCCGCATGAGGGGTGTGCCGAAACGTGGCGGGGTACACAACGCAAAGGAATACGATAGATCTGATTACGAGAGAAAGAACGCGGGTGAGTCAGAGCGCGAGGGAATCTGAGTATGAATGGGTCTGCGCGCGAGTGAATATATTTGCATGAGTGCGATCATGGAAACGCCTAGTGTAAGTGAATGTGAATGGTTCGAGCATGCCTGTCCGAACACACGTGACACTGGGCGTGGCCGCCGCAGGCAGCTTCCGCGGGAACCCCGACGGCAGCGTCCGCACGTCGCGACGCCCATGTCGGCACGCCTCTTGCGAGGATCGCGCCCGCTTTCGGCTCTTCTTTTCCTTCCTCTTTGCCCGCGCACTCCAAAATCCAAGGCTGCGGGCGCAGCGCAGCGCGGAGTCCCCGCGACGCGCGCCGGTCGCCCCGGGCGGGGTCCCAGCGACGCGCGCGGGTCGTCCGCTGCGCGAAGCAGAGAGAGCTGACTAGCTAACTGGCTGGCTGATAGCGGGCAAGTCTCTGACCGCTGGGCAGAGCGACGACGGGCGAACGAGGCGCCGGGCCCCCCGCAGCGCGGAGTTCCCGCGACGCGCGCTGGTCGCCCCGAGAGGGTCCCAGCGACGCGCGCGGGTCGTCCGCGGCGCGAGGCCAAACAATTAGTCGGGCAGTCGAGAGAAGGCGCGGCTCGGGGGAGACGCTCCTCAGGTCAGGCCTCGCGGATGAACTCGGTGAAGCCGAGCTCCCTGGCGAGGGCCGTCGCTTCCCTCCTGCGCCGCTTCGTGCGCGCCGCAAACTGCTCCAGCTGCTTCCGCAAGCCCTGCGGCGGCCCTGCCAGGAAGAACTCGATGCGCGGCGCCCGCATGAGCAGGAGGTCCTCGTGGCGCGTGGCGCGCGAGAGCAGCACGTAGAGCTCCAGCCACCAGTCGTCGTCCTCCTTCTTGCCGTTCCCTACCTCGTGGCGGCCGCAATCCAGGATCACGCCTGGGCGACGT